CTGCAGCATCTCGTCCACAGAGCTGCGCAGGTGCAGGCTGACTTGGATGACGAGGGCCAGGATGTCACTGCCAGGGAAGGAGCCGGTCCCCTCACTGTACAGAGAACCCAGGCGCTGAGATGGGGCCAGGCGTGGGGGGGCGGGGCAGCGCGGAGGCTGGGGGGTCACCTCAGGACGCCGGCGATTTCCAGGCTCGAGATCCCCAGCAGGTTCTGCACTTGTGCCCTCACGTCCTCGGTGAAGCCTCCTGAAACCCAGCAGAGGTGGCAGGTCCGTCACCGCTCTGGGCACATCACGGCGCTCCCATGGCGCCGCCTCCCCAGCCCACCAGCACCGGGCGCCAGGATGTCCCTGCAGCCCAGGCAGAAGCACTGTCCTACCCGAGGCGGCACGGGTTTCTTCTCAGGGCTCATTGTGTCCGGGGACACGTTCCCCTGACCTAGCCTGTCTCGGGTTTAGGCTTGGGAACCTGGCTGCAGTGGCGGGTGGTGGCGAGTGGGGACAGGAGCGTCGTCCCGAGCCGCTGAGGGAGGCCACAGCCTGGCCCCGGCCTCCAGGGAGAGCAGGGCACCTTACCGTGTAGGAGCGACTGCAGACAGACGGCCAGGGACGGGATGCCCACGGGCAGCAGCTCACACAGCACAGAGAAGTGGTCGTACCTGAGCCCACAGGAGAGGGCGCTCAGCTCCCGCTCCCGGCAGCAGACGCTGCACCGCTCCTGGCACGAGGACGGCACCGAGAAGCGTCTGCAGAGCTGGCTGCTGCCTCCGGAAGCACCCTTGGCTCCCGGGTGTGCAGGCCCACCCGCCACCCAGCCGGGCTCAACGCTCTGTGGTCGCCACCCTGAAATCCTCAGAGTTCGGCTTTGTGAGTGAGGGCGAGGGCATGGCCCCCCTCAAAGGCCCTGCCTCCAGCTGCCGCGGGTCCGCTCTCCCTGCCCTTGGTGCCAGGCCACCTGCCTCTCCCCTGACCCCAATCCTAGGTGGGACTTGGCCAGGACCAGGGTCCTTTCATAGCTCAGATTTGCAACTGGTATGAAATCGTGAAGAGCCAGCTTCTGTCCTGGTCCCCACTGTGCATGAGCCGCTGCGTGTGGCCTCCCAGAGGCTGCAGACTGTGGACGGGCACGCGGGCCACAGGACAGGGCCAGGAGGGCAGCATGCCCTGGGCAGAGTTTGGGGGCAGCTACAGGTTGTCAGGGGCCCTGGCTGCTCCCCCGCCATCCCCAGAGCATCTGCCCTTCCCTCCCGGTCAGAGGCCCCGCCTGCATGGCGAGGAGGGTGGTGTGTCCTGGCCACGGGAGCTGCCTCGCCCTCCAGGACGGGCTCCGGGCGGCTCACCTCTGCCAGCCGGTCAGGATGATGCCCTGCAGTGTGTCCTTCCGCCCTTGGGCCGCCACCTGCAGCCACTGCAGGTTGTTCCGGAGGTGGTGCTCGACGGGGGGCAGGGCCTGGCTCGGCCCCGTGGCCCCCTTGAAGGCACTGGCTGCCCACAGCCGGGGGAAGCCGCACTGCCGGTACTTCTCCATGAGGAGGGCTGACGAGACAGCGAGAGGTGTGCCTGGGCCGGGGCCAAGGAGGCTGCGGCCACCAAGCCTGGAACACGTGGCCCGACACCCGCCGTGCGGAGGGAAACCACAGGAGACCGCACTTGGCCTGGACGGCGCCCTCTCAGGGAGCCCACCTCCCGCCCCCACAGGACAGGCCATCCCGTGAGGACCGGCCACAGGACACGCAGGCCGCTCCCCGGGACCCGGCCCCCTGGGGGGAGTCTGCAGTGAAGCAGAGGCAGCTCAGGCTCTGATGAGCCAGGAAAGAGGCCCCATGTCCCCCCTGGGCATCAGGTGACAGGGCCTCCCCCAGTGACTCGGTACTGACCCTTGCCCTGCACGTCCAGGTCGGCCCCGTAGTCCCAGAGCACTGGCTCCACCAGCTGCGGCACCCCGGACGCTGCGGGCGGGAGGCTGTGAGGGCCCGGCCGGTGGAACGCCCTGGCCCCCGCTGCTTGCATGAAAAGGGGACACACGCCATCTTTTCTTCACGCTCCACACTGCACTGCTCACGGTGGAAATGCCATGCCAGGAGCCAGCCAGCCGTGGGACAGCCCAGCCCTGCGGCCCAGCACTCCCCTGGGGGCACCAGGTCCAGGCACAACAGGAACGTGCACTAACTGGATTTAATTGTAACAAACCCAAGGGGCCACCTGTGGGTGCTGGCTGAGCCTTGCGGAAGGTGGGCCTCCACGTGGGCACCAGGGCACCGTCCCGGCTCTGGCCAGAGCTGTGAGTGACCACACCAACCTCCCGTCTCCGCCCAAAGCCTCAGGCCAGGACCTCACCAGCGTCCGTACAGGGCAGGCCGGGGAGGCCGAGCGGGCAGAGGGCCAGAGGGCAGGAAGCAGGGCTCCCTGTGGCCCAAGCCGCCCACCCCCGATGGCCAGGGCCCCGGGCCTCATGGCCACCCCAGGTCGGACCCAGCACTCCCATCCTCCTGCCAGGCTCTAAGGTGCCTTCCAGGGGGAGGGCGTTTCCATGTGAGGACATTTAAACCGTGGCTGACGGGACTGTGGGCGGCAAAGCTCCGCTGCGTTTGAACTCAGTCCCCTGAGCAGACGGGGCTCAGCAGCAGCCGGCGCCTCCTCCCGTGGACGCACCGCTGACCTGACAGCTGGTCCTCGGGGATGTCCCGCAGCATGTCGTCCCACACCAGCGGCGTCGTGGCCGGGTGCCGGTCCCGCACGTGGCTGGCCACGGCCCTCATGTGGGACAGACACAGCGTGGCCGTGGTGTTCTGCTCCTGCTGCAGCCACTGCCTCGAGGCCTCGCCCTCCCCGAGGTAATAGACCTGGAGGAGGGAAGACAGGCCCGTTGGCCTCCAACCCGCCGGGAGCACCCAGGGCCAGGGCACAGGCACGGGAGGCGGCGGCAGTGGAGGGCGACCTGCCTCTTCGCCGAGACCTGAACTCCCCCTCGAGGGTCCCTTCCACGGCAGCGCGAGGGGAAGAAGCAGATGTCTGCCATGCCCGCCCGCCCTCTATCGTTGGCGTGTGGGCGCGTGGGCTGTTTTCCCCCCGAGGTGGGGGGTGGCCTTGACGTGACGACACGGGAGCCTGTGGACCTGGGGCAGAGACCTGACGCAGCACCCACCTCGTCGCAGCCGATGTGGAGCCACCGGGCTCCCGGGTGCAGCGCCAGCACCTGGTCGACCATGGCTCCCACCAGCGCCAGCGACTCCGCCTCGTGCGGGTTCAGGGTGTTGGGGAAAAGCGCCACTTCTCGGAGGTGGGCGAGAGCCTCATGCTTCAGCACAAACTGCAGGAGGGGACGTGAGGGGGGCTGGTCACACGGGGAGAGAAGCTCACGCCCGGACCGGAAGGGCCGCCTCTGGGTTCAAACTTCCGACAGCGGCTGGAGGTCCCTGCCCAGCAGGTCTGACCCTCAGCCGGGCACGCCTGTCCGCAGGGGCTTCTGAGAGCCTGTCCCTGCAGCGCCCGCTGCTCCCAGCCGATGCGCCCCGGACCCCACACCTGGGCGCAGGCGACGCCCGTCCGGCCCACTTACCTCCATGTGCCCGAATGTCTGCACCAAGGGGACCACCTCGAGCTCGTGCGCGGCGGCCAGACGCAGGACCTCCGTGACCTCACTGGGGCTGCGAGACAGGGTCCCAGCTCCGCTCACACTCCCCAGGCCTCCTAGCCAGCGCCCGGGACCCTCCCGAGGAAGCTACGCGGCGAACACTGAAAAGCTCCACAATATTCTGGGGTTTCAGAGACGCTCCTGCTCTAGGACTTGGGCCATCACAGCCTCAAGTGACATTTGCTGTTTGCCAGCTATTCTCACCCAAACCCCAGGACGCTGGAGTCCCTGTACCAGAAACTGCCACACGGAGTCATGGCAGCGCAGGTCGGCAGGCGGGCCCAGGGCAAATTCCCCGCGGGCGTTAGTGCAGCCGTGACCTAAAAATGGCTTCTACGTTATTGAAGGGTTCAGAGAAACATTTCCGTGTCCACTAATGTTTTGTTGGGACACAGCCACGCCCAGTCATTCACATGTCACCTGTGGCTGGCCACGGCCCTCACATGGGACAGCTACTGTGGTAACAGACCAGCCGGGCACAGCCTGAAATGCTCCCTGTCTAGTCTTTTTTTTAAAAAAAATGTATTTCTTATTGATTTCAGAGAGAAAGGAGAGGGAGAGAGACAGGAACATCAATGATGAGGATCACTGACAGCCGGGCATGTGCCCTGACCGGGAATTGAACCGTGACCTCCTGGTTCATAGGCTGACGCTCAACCATGGAGCCGCGCCGGTCAGGCTGGGCTGTTTGTTACTGATTCACTTGGACACAGTGATCTCGAAGCCCGCGGGGGGCCCCCGGAGCACCATGTCTGATGTCATGAACTCTGAGCCTCTCCCCTTTAACCTCCACCTTCCCATGGGGACCCCCTGTGGCCTCGGGAGCGGCCTCCTCCCCCTGCCTGGCACCTGTCTGAGCTCCTCCCCGTCCTTCACACCTGTGACACCAAGATCACGCCCCGTGGGGATCACGGCTTCGCTTGCTTTCTCTACTATTCTGTGAACTCCTTTTATGTCTATGGCTGAAGACGTGCATTTAAAACAACAGAAGGGAGGGATTATCTCACTGTCGTGAAATTCTCGCCTGCCCCGTCCGCACCCCCAGGTTGCCGCCCCCACCCCTCCACCCCGTTTTCTCTGCAGGTGACGACCCTCGCGGGCAGGTACCTGTACGCGTGCGGGGCCCTCAGCAGCCTCAGGGGGCCCTCGTAGGGAAACGTGTCTTCGTACTCGATGAGGAGACCGTTGGCGCCCAGGGCACGGAACAGCGGGAAGATCTGGGGAGAGGGGCGTAAGGAAGTGACACGGGCAGCACGCGGCGTCTCTCGCTCTGCACACGGGTCTCTGTCGGACTCCTCTCCTCCCTGGAAACTCTCACCTGGAACGTGCGCTGTGTCATGTCAGCCAAACTCTAACGCAGTGACATGTTCGGGGGACACTGGGTGAGGGGACCACTTGCTCTACAGCAGCTGCCCCTGAACAGCTCATGGCGGCTAAGCTCGGGGGGGAGGCCGGGCCAGTAGGGCAGGCGGCCACAGTCAGAGAGCAGCTCACAGGAGACGGGGGGCCGGCAGGGCTGGGGTGGGTAGTGTGAGGCTGGAAGGAACCTTAGAGGAAGTGGGGCCCGGCCGGCGTGGCTCAGTGGTTGAGCGCCGACCTATGAACCAAGAGATCACAGTTCAATTCCCGGTCAGGGCATAGGCCTGGGTTGTGGGCTCCATCCCCAGGGTGGGGCGTGCAGGAGGCAGCCGATCCATGATTTTCTCTGATCATTCGTGTTTCTCTCTCTCCCTCACAGGCCCCTCCCCCTCCCATTACGCCATCTCTATTTCAAAGGATGTGAACTCCTGCCCTCAAGGATTGCTAGGACCAGGTCGTGTGTACGACACAGAGCTGGGACCTTCTTCCCGTCTGGCGCCACGCAGGGTGGGAGCAGCGCCCTGTGGACACCAGGGAAGGCCCCCTGCAGATACGGGAACAGCAGCCTGTGCCCAGGCGAGGCCCGTCCCAGGGCTCGTCTGACTTGTCCACTCCTGTGGACATTGCTGGCAAAGCGTTCTTGCCCTAGAGCAGCGGTTCTCAACCTGTGGGTCGCGACCCCTTTGGTGGTTGAACGACCCTTTCACTGGGGTCGCCTAAGACCATCCTGCATATCAGATATTTACATGACGATTCATAACAGTAGCAATATTACAGTTATGTAGCAACGAAAATAATTTTATGGTTGGGTCACAACATGAGGAACTGTATTTAAAGGGCCAGAAGGTTGAAAACCACTGCCCTAGAGCCTGAGACATTCTGAGACAGGCTGCAGGGAAGGAGGAATCAGCCGTAATGCGTCATAAAACCGTAATCGGTAATTAACCGTAAATTACAAAACCACCGACACCCTCACCTCCTGTCAACAATGTCTGCAAAGACCCTATTTTCAAACCGGGTCCCGGTCACAGGTGTGAGGGGCCAGGGGTTGAACATATCGTTTTGGGGGACACATTCAGCCCACGGTGAAGAGGTTGGGGTCTCTTCATCCTGTTTTTCCTTTGACTCTCCTGGCTGCTCTGTGGCCCAGCCAGACCCTGCGGCTGAGCTCTGAGCACACATTTCTATAGGACACTGCCCGCACCTTTAGAGACCAACCCGGGGGCTCCCCTCGAGGTAAAGGGGGCTCCCACCTCCGAGAGGTACGAGACCTTCGGCGGGGCTCCTTTAAGGTCCAGGTGCACAAACCGCATCTTGAATGGCGAGGAGCCCGACATCTCGCCGTTTGGGGGGAAGTCACACGACAAAGACCTCTTGTCCGGGCCCTTCTTCCTGGAAGAGAAAGTCAGAGTTAGGAGCGAGCCCCCTGCTTCCTGTCCAGTCAGCTATTAGCGAGGAGGAAACCCCCCCACACACACACAGCTCACACATCAAGGCGTGTGTCTCACTGTGACCTGCCCCCGAAGTGGACCAGCACTGGTCCCCTCATCAGAGGCTCTGGTCTGGTAACACGCGTGCCTGCAGGGATCCTCCCGTCTTAAAGGCCCTTCATCAGCGAAAACAGGCAGGTGTCTCCAGACACCATGTCAGGCCCCACAATACGTCTTAGTAGAAAGTTTATCCTCAATTTTACTTTTCTTTGGATAACATCACGAGTATTTACGTTTCTAGAGCTGAGGTCAGCCGCTTGCACGAAGAAGCTACAAACATTTCCACTAGGTCAGAGAAAACTGCCCAGGATTTAAAACAGGCCATGGATTGGCATGTTGAATAACTACATCGTTCACCTGAAACTCATATAATACTGCATGTCGACTGTACCTGAATTTTTTTAAGGGCAAAAATTTTAATTGTTTGGAAAATGGATGAGCCACACGTGTCTCAGGGCTGGCTGGTTTATGCTGATGTGAAGGGAGCGTTTGGATGACAATGAAGCAGCTGGAAATAGTGAAATTTTTTTTTTCTACTATAAGAGCACAGAGGATTCATGGGGAAAGAAACCCTTGCTATATTGGTCACAAATACAGTTCAGTAATTCCAACTACTCCTCCGCACAGGCTCATAAACCTGGCCTTGAGAAGTCTGTAGTGCAGAGAGGAGACAAAATAGGTGCATCCAGAAACCAATCCACTTGATGTCTTTTAACAAGAAATTACAGCCCCAGCTGTTTGCTCAGAGGTTAGTGTCTCGGTTTGATTCCAGTTAAGGGCACGCATCTTGGCTGCAGGCTTGACCCCTGGCCCTGGTCAGGCGCCTGCAGGAAGCAACTAATTGATGTGTCTCTCACATCGATGTTTCTCTGTGTCTCTCCCCCTCCTTCCACTCTCTCTAAAAATCAACGGGAAAATATCCTCAGGTGAGAATTAACAACAACAACAAAGAAATTATATTCAAGACAATCTCAGTGACGAAATTCTTAAGGCAACTACCCAGCCAAGGGGGTAGCTGAAATGTATGAAAAAAACATTCTGAAAAACGGCAATGCTTTTTAAAGCTGAATTGTTTTAAAATCTTACAAACCAAACCGACTTTTCAGCGAATAGATTTAAGAGAGGCACTTCGAGCTGAGAAATCTGCATTGGTCGTGTGTGCGTCTCCTATTCAGACAGAAATCCTGTTACTCTTGTAACAATGGGGTAAAAAGAGTGGAGACTGTTGCACGTGAGGATTTTTTTAAAAAATATATTTTATTGATTTTTCACAGAGAGGAAGGGAGAGAGATAGTTAGAAACATCGATGAGAGAGAAACATCGATCAGCTGCCTCCTGCACATCTCCCACTGGGGATGTGCCCGCAACCCAGGCACATGCCCCCGACCGGAATGGAACCTGGGACCTTTCAGTCCGCAGGCCGACGCTCTATCCACTGAGCAAAACCGGCCTCGGCGAGGATTATTTTTTTATTATTGGTTTTTAGAGCGAGAGGGGAGGGAGGGAAACATTCACGCTCTCCCGATGGGCTGCCTCCTGCACGCCCCCCACTGGGCACTGAGCCCCTGGCTGGGTATCAACCTGAAACCTTCCGGCCGCCTTCCAGCTAAAATGCAAAGGAACAGAAGCGAGAAGTCAGCTCCAGCTCGTGAGCGCGAATTCCTTTGCTTCCCACCTGAGAGAAGCTACAGACATGAGATCATTTCAGGGACTTGGGCCGCTGTCCCTGTTCGCTTCCGCAGTTCTGTGGCTGGTTCCGCGGCTCCCAGGTCGGGGCCCACGGCCCGGAGTGGCCCTCGATGGCACCCCCGTCCCCAGTGCCAGGACTGCGGGGCGGAACTCTTTTCAGTCCGACAGGCCCTGGACTGTTTCCTTCCTACCCCCCCGCCCCCCCATCCCCATCAGTAAGTGACTCACCTTCAGACTCACTTCTCATGAATGAGCCTCATTGCTAACTCGGCTTATCCAGAATCCTAGGAGCCTTGACAGGGCTGGTTCCGACTCACTCCCGACCCAGA